AATTTACTTGGTTTTATCGCTGAACGACATAGAAAGAAGTAGTTGCAATTTGATGGAATTCCCTTGAATAACGTCTTTTTGTTGTCGAGTAAAATACTTTAAATTAGAAACTTAATTTACTTGGTTTTATCGCTGAACGACATAGAAAGAAGTAGTTGCAATTTGATGGAATTCATCCACTGAATAACACGTCTTTTTGTGGTTGATTAGAAAACTTTAAAAACTTGGGAATATCTAATTCAAAAACTTAGATAACTTTAAGAAAGAGCGCTAAACTTAATTTGAAACTCCTAGAATACGTAATTAAAATCATCATAACTTACTGACCTGGGACTTCGTAGTTTCCCCCAGAACAAACAGAAGCTAATGTGAAGTAGTTATTGGACTCCAAAAGGACGTTTGAGACCTGAAACAACACCAAATATTGCCTTGAGTTTAGTATTTATGCTGTAAAATGGATTATCAGGGTCAAGAGTGCTCTAAAACGAAAGAAAAAACAACAAAAACATAACCTACCAAGAGAAAAACAGTTAAAAGTAACATTATCCTCGACAGGTTATTCGCTCGATCCAGTGTTGGAATTCCTCCTCAGTTTCGTTCACAAAATCRTCAGTTCATGCCTTGATTCAAAAATGTGATGCAATGAATTAGCAACTGATAAGAGTCACTGGATGTTGGTAAAATCTCGGGGCAAGAAGTACTGAATCAGACTAGCATTATTGACAACGTATTTGATGAATTCCTTTAAAACTAAGGACGTCAAGTACTTGCGAAACAGGTGTTTTCAGATATCATAAAAATGCCCCCTGAGGGTGGGGGGTGGGGGGGGGAGTCGTTGCAATTTTGAGGAAATCTCTTAAAGATTCTTTTCAGCATCGTTTCAGGTTGAAATAAACGCTTTCGTAAATGACCTAATAGAATAATTTAATTCAAATACACCTTTCYGCGACTATAGAGTAGTTTTACACGCTCAGCTCCAAAATTCCCTAGCCTTCCCCCGTGTGTTCAGGTACTGTACCATTGATCTACTAGAACATCCATGGAAACAAAAGTGGTGTCACAGCGTCTTTCTTTTCAGCAAAATATCCAAGAAACCCGGCTTTTGTTCGAAATATAAAGTCAGTRAAACCATTCAAATTTGCTCCTAGATGTATTGTAAGTAAAATAAAGTATTTTGATCGAGGTTGATAGTTCGTGGTTAGTAAATTAGATTCTATCCAAAAGCTAACAAGTAAAAAATAAATGAAATGGAAAGAAAAAAMCCCACATATATAAATTGTTTCAAAAGTTATAGAATGTAGAATCTGTTTCGAAAAATAAAGTCAATCTTTCGTTCTTCGCCGAAGAATGGTTACACTATAATGGCTTCCAAGAACATAAATTTTTTGTTCAAAAACTACGACTCGAAGTGGAAAATAAAAATAAAAATTTAATAAAGAGATGAAAACTACATTCAAAAATAAAAAATATTAAGTCAAGCGATATTTATGTTATTAAGGACTACAAATTACTGACAGCATCTTGCGCGCGGATTCCGGAAAACCCTTTCAGAATACATTAAAATTATTGAATGCAAACATGTTTTCGGCAACTAAAACCAATTATCACTAATAAACTAAAGTGCAAGCGTCTAATCCGTCACTTTTGAGCCTTTTTTGTAATGGGAAACCTTTTCCAGTAAGTGAAAAAATAGACGTTCGGTCGAAAACGACAGGCAAGGGTTTTTTTTAACTTCTTACGAATCAGTAAACTTCTATGGTTGGTTGGTGACMATCGTTTCTGGAATCTTCGTTTTCGCAACTCCAATTTGTTTTCTTTTCTTTATGATCGCATAAGACATAGACTCTTATAATCTCGAACATAAGAATCTCGAACTTCTTTAAATAAAGTTTTCAGTTTGATATCGTTTGCTGTTGTCTCATCTAAAATCTCGAGCAGAGCGATGGATTTATTGTCAAATTCAAAAAAAACTTCACCATGGATTTACAGTTTTATTGTTTTATTAACTTTTTTTCTCGAAAAACATACTCTAGAACTTGATCCCCTCTGAAGAATACTAAAAAATAATAATAATAGGTGAAATCAAACAGCAGAAATAACAAAACTAACCGGCTATGACAAAAGCACTTCATTAAAGAGATTTTCCATCATCAGAGACTCTAAAACAAAATGTTGTTAAATAATAAATGTGGGAAGCTTTTATTTAGGCGAGTATAAGTGCATATCCTAAATGAAACCCCCTTTTGCTAGTTTTAGCTCTTTCATATTTCGCCAACTTTGAACGACTGGCCAATTTTGTATTCCTTAAATCAAATAGAAAATTTAACTAAAAAATAAAATACTATTCCTAATCCTAAAATCGGTTAATTTGCAATAATAATAATAATAATAACAA